ATCTCGGATTTTACTTCTTCATTTGTCTTTAGAATCTCACCGCCGTTGAACTTCCAAGAATTCTTGCCGGGTTCATAATTCCGTGCTAGTACAAAAATAAAATAATTATTATATTCATTGTGTCACAAATTTGTGATTTAATGAGAATAAACGCCAACGTAACAGGTCACAATAATGAAAACAATCGACGATTTTAGCAAAAGGCAATTAAACGCGTTATTGGCGACTTTCCCATTTTTCAAAAAAATTCAAAAGGGGGGGTGTATCTTTTTCAGATAGTTTCTGTGGTCTGAAAAGTCGAATAAGCGTTTTGACATAGTAAATGCTTTGATCTTTGCCTGCAAATTATGCTGGGCCTTGCACGAAATCCATAACGTGAAAAGATACCTCCAGCGGTGAAAATTGTATGTAACAACTTTAGATCTAGTTAATTTTTTAGCGATAATAATTAATTGTTGTAACGAAATACAGTTTGCCTCTTTCATTCTCTCGAAATTGCCAACAATAACACTATTGGAAGATTTTGATGACAATGAAAAAACCATATAAAATTGTACAAAAATGAATTAGTTGTGCAAAACCGTGGCGCGTGATCGTCGGTGCGTTTGAAGACGGAGTATTACCCGTGCGGGCGCGCATGTTTCACGAAAAAATGTGAGGTGCTCCGAAGGCGCTCTGGACCACATTATTGTGAGAAAACAGTTATATTATCGGTAACAATTAACGGTTTAATTGCGCTTGACTATTTAAATTATTGGGGTGGGCCACCGCCCCCTTTCGCCCCAGCCCGGGTGTCCGCCCCTGATTGTAACCATAGTGATTTCAAACCAGCTCCCCAGCCCTGTATTAAAACTTGAAAATTCACACAAGGATTCCTGTGCGGAATAGAAAACACATTTAGTGCAATGCTGATTTAATTTTGCAGAAGCAGAAAGGAAACTCGAGATCATTGTGATTTCATGATCATAGCTGGCTCTGAAGAAATCCTAGTTCATAAGAATATTATATCTGTAGGATCTGATTATTTCAAAGCAATGCTGGCTCATAATGTAAGTTGTGTTTATACGTGCCATAAACTGTTTGAGTTAACTAACTCTCTCACAGTTAGTACTGTTACCCTTGTTAATGAGATTTTAATCGTTGGCATATCATACTTCAGAATGCTGAGACAGCGTCTGGTAAAGTGGAAATGAGAGAAGTTGATCCATTATCCCTGCGACAATGCATAGAATACATTTACACTGGTGAATTGTCTACTACTGATGCAAATGCTGAATCTTTGATGTTTGTGGCTGAATTACTACAGTTGAAAGGTGATGTTATGAAATAGATCTTTCTTATAGATTGTACCGAGATTCACTCAATCCTCTGTGATTCAAATTACCTTGACAATATGGAGTTATTTGCTTTGCATGTGCCTGGATTTTTATAGTTATTCCTGCCAGTATTCACTGTATCAAGTTGCCAGCTTCTCATTGGAAGGAAAACCTGTTACTCTTTTAATTCAGCTTTTCAAATATTCTGTCAAAAACTGAATTTATAAATTACTTATGCGAAATTGAAATTTTTTTTATTTTAGCGCTTGACTTTTTTTCATGTGATTCTATGAAGTTTCAGTAATCTAGGACAGGGCTACTCAACTATTTTTACCGAAGATCCGTACACAAAACTTCAAAATTATTTGGGTCCGGTGTTTCCAGAAATTATATTTTGGCATCAGTGAACGAGCACTTTCTCGACCGGCTAATGATTATCAGCTACTCAAGATTGTTTATTATGGTGTTATAGTTCTTTTCATATATATTCAAAACTATAAAAGTCATTTTATAAAATGAAACTTTAAAAATGGGGCTAATGATCCAAATTAAAGAGTTAGGTGCGGTTCGAATCGAATACTCGAAAAGTCCGGATTCGGACCGCGGTCCGCCAGTTGAGTAGCCCTGATCTAGGACGCTTCGCACAATGTTACAAAATTACAATATGCAATGAGTGTGAGGGGCTGATCAAAATGGAAGTGTTATTGCTCATAAATGTGTGTGTATAAATACATACAATATAAATGTTTGTTTTATGATAACAGATGTCTGTGAAGGCATCGTTGATTCACTTGAAGAAAATCTCGAATCATCTGCAGAATCATTTTTTGTAACAAAAAGAATCGCAAACCTGTACAGTTACAAAGAATTGGTTGGAAAATGCGAGAAGTTCATGCTGGATAAATTTGAGGAAATAGCGGAACTTGATGATTTCAAGGAAATAGAGGAAAAGGGATTTGTTAGATTGATCAAATCACGAGAAAACAAGGTATTTTTAGCGTTTTGTTAGGTTTGTTTCACTTCTTCCTTCTGAATAAGATTCTATTCTAGCAGCCACTTATTTAATTGGTTAAAGTTTTAGATTCTCAGACTAAACAAAATAAAGTTTCAATGGCTCAATAATAAGAAACTTCCTGGAAGTAAGGACTGTTTTCTTTATTACATATCCTGTTTACCACTTGCATTTTTATCAAATAATATCTAGGAATGACAATATCTTATTTGATAGCTTTAATGGTAAGCAGTTACTTTTGAATGTAACAGATGCGGCTTCATGTTCGCATGTTCTGTAATATTCTGTTGGCTTGCTAACCACTACTTTTTTCATGCAAGGTTTTCAACCACCCAGATATTTTTTAAATTCAACCTGGCTTGAAAGGACGCACTGTATTACAGCATTAGCCTACCCTATTTCTCACTTCAGTAAGGATGATAGGGTTGGTCTAAACCAGGGGTCGCGACCTCAAATTGGGTCGGAGTGATAAGTAGGTAGGGTCGCAAACAGGTCTTGGGGTTGCTGAGGTATGGTAGAGGATGCATGTACAAATCATCTAAGATTTGACAAACCATGTTAAATTTAGCAGTTTGTACCATGGCTTACTGTAAAACATGCTTATGCTATAGAAAATGTAGGTGCTTATTGGGACATCACTGTTTGTTTTTAGCTTATTTTAGTTAATTCCACCACATGACCAAACTCAAAAGTACAGTGAAAGAAGCTCTAAAGTTTCATTAAAAATATATATTGACCTGGGGTCGCACTGGACACTTGAAAGTTGTCCTTGGGTCGTCCTGAAAAAAGCTTGGGAACCCCTGGTCTAAACAAATGAGTTTTCACTCTTGCATGCCTACATCATTGGGTTAGCCTACTAACCACTTGCTTTTTCATCCAATTAATATTCAAGCAAGTAATAATGCATGCCGCTATTTTAGTATATAGCACGAATGCTAAACATTTGTCTATAACTGAGTATTCTTGATTCACATATTCTATATTCCATCTAGGCATCAGAGAGTGTCAAACTGAAGGCGTTGATATCTTGGATAAAACATGAGCAAAGAAATCGCAAAAAACTTCTGAAGAAATTGAACAACTACATTGATTTGCATAAAGTACCGGTGACTTATAGAAGATTCCTTGTTGAAAACGAGGTCGGTTATTCTTGAATTGATATATTTGAACCATTCATCTTTGGAACACATTGGTGATTTTGATTATGTTATTGGATTTTATCTGACTAATGAACAGAGCTGTGGGATCGGAGTTTGGAATATTGCACCCGGTATTTTCAAACTATCAACTTTTAATTTCTTTGAAGTTAGATTTTTAGATAAAGAGGGCTCGCATGTGTCAAAGATTTTGGGTATAAATTTGCTTTTCTCGAAGTTCAGGTCTTAAGTATTTAAATATTGTTGCATCCTGGGGTCTGAGTATTTTTTTCTTAGCCTCCTGTATTCCTTCTATTTCCACGACATCAATAACCCTTTCTTTTAAATCATACAACATTCATTGGAATAACATGACGCACATTGGTTGTTTCAGCCAATGGTGAAGTCATGCCATGAATGCTATCAAACTCTATGCATCTCTATGCTGGACAGCTTAAACGTTTGTGCTTCAGATGTTCCTTCTGCTGAGAACATAAAACAAGAAGGAAAAGAAGCAAGTAAGTTGAATTAACATGTGGACAATAAAGTATACCACTTGTCAGCTAAAACTTGGAAATTTACGCAACTGTAGATTGGTTCCAACTCGAACGATGCTATAGTCGGCTGTCTTTTCTTTTCTGATACAATATTTATTTCGTACAGTTGCTGTGTTCGATGAAAACTCAAAGAGCCTTCAATGCTTTAATCCTCAGAATAATACTTGGACAAAAATGCAGGTTAGTATTGGACAACCTTCAACTCATTGGTCTACTCCTACTATTTTCTATATTAGTCTCCATTATTACTCCAGATAGTAAAAACTAATTCTCATATTTTTTGTTTTTCTGTGATTGGATTGCAAGATGGTGTTGTGGTAGTTTCGCTTCGACATGTAGTATTAATGCGTAGTATTATATAACTTATTATTATTAATGCGTCACTTATTTTATTTCAACGAGAGATTGTGTTTGGCCATCTTATCGCTTTTCTTATTCGTTTTCCCCCTTTTATGATAGATTTGAACTCAGCTATCTGACTTGTCTATTTCACTTTGGTACTTAATTGAAGTATGTAATATAGGATTTACATATTTATCCTGGGTGAGAGGAAAGGCAATAAGACTTAATCATATGGCTAACCAGGCCTCTCGTCCGTTTACCAGTCCATGTCAGGTATGGGATTAGTTTGTCGCAAGCATTGACTTGGTGGTGGAGGAAGCCGTAACCGACCAGCGGTTACATGAACCACCCTACGGCGGTGATGAGTACAGCAATCCTCTCGCACATAACCATCCCGGCATGGAGTTCGAACCTGCGAACCCACGCAGGGTAATCTCAGGTGCGGTGGCGAGCGTATTCTTACCGCTTAGCATTATGTGCCATGCCATGTGGACAAGGCCTTTTTAGGACAATTATTTGAGTGGTATTTGATTCTCTCATTCCACCACTCCCACGCATCTATCTACATTTAAACAAACATTTCTTCAATGTAATCTTGTTTATTAATATTTTCCAGAATCTACCTGAATCAGAATTTCGCTTTTCTGCTGTGGCACTTGGTGACTACATTTATGTTCTCATGATTGATCGATCTGTTCATCGACTGAAACACTCAGATCATGAAGCTACTTGGGAGAGAATGGATGATATGATATATGACCACGGGTTTTATCCTCCTGTTGCTGTTTTGTCTGGTAAGAATTGCTTCAAAAAATCCTTTGCTAAACAATATCTTGTTACCTTTGCCTCAAGACTAGTAATTGAGTTTTTCAAATATCCTGTTGCGGTTTTATTAGGTGAGAAGTTGCCTCAAGAATTCTTATACTGGTCTGTTTAAGCATTTAATGAAAAACATATTTTAATAGCATTTGGTATCTAATTCCAGTTCAGCCTTGTATTGTAACTATATCACTTCATTGCGGGTGACCCAAAATTCTTCTGAACGATTTGTGCACAAAATACTGATATTTTTTTCTGGTTTGTAAAACTTGTCCTTTAATGAAACTGTACAAATACAAATTATATTCCCATGAAAACTTTTTTTTATTTTTGGTTAATGTTTTGTCTTCCATTGCTATTGTGTTATATATTATTATGACATGATTTATATTTGTATAAATACCACGAGTTTGCTTTGCCCTAAGACAAATAGTTCTTCACTTTATCTTCTATTATTTTTCAAGTATCATTTGCTTTCTATCATTGGTCTGAAATACCAATTGCTCACAGGAAACCTATACGTAGTTGGTTCTTACTCAAAATCAGTTGAAAAGTTTGATCCATCAAGCAACAAATGGGAAAAAGTAAAAGACAAAAATCTTAACAGTCTTTATTCAACAGCACTGGGTGCTAGAGGTTAGAAAGTGTTGTCAAATAAATGTTATTTACGTTGAACTGGATCGAAACAGGCAGGCATACAATAGGGTAATAAATGGAATTGCCACTGGGTCATATACCCAACTTCAGAAATCTAGCTGGACCAATAAATGCTCTGCTTTACATTAAGTAATAAAAACATCCGGCAAAACGGTGAAAAATTAAACGCATCAAAAAGAATATAAAAACATGTAATTTTACTCATGTGAGTGACTTTTTAAACATAAACTGTCGGATTAGCTCTTCATGCGTGATGGGGGAAAATCTGAGTGTTGACAAGGGCCAGACTAGATAGCTTTGCGGACACTAAATAGCTTTGACTGTTGCAAGCCCCTAGTCTAAACCAAACAGGAAAAAATTCCGTTTTTCCTTGACCAGTAGGTCGTTTTGTATCAGTGGTTGCTTTCACAAAGTATTTTTCAAAGCAAACTTGCAATACACTTACAGTAAATATAAAATGACTGCCAACAGATATCGGATTTATCAATTTGTCTTAAGTTTCCATCGAATACCAGAATGCAGAAAACACTGAAAATGCCAATCATTCTATAATTCCAGGTTGTGTATGCAGCATTGGTGGCTATGTATCAGATCACTACACCAACAAAGTAGAAATATTTGACCCAACATCATCAACTTGGTCATTTGTTGCATCCATGAAGAAAGCAAAGGGCTGTGTTGCAGCCGTTGAAAATGAAGGAAAAATATATGTTCTAGGTATGTTGGTGCATGTTGTTGTTGTTTGTGTTTGTTGCTAAAAATGTACGAGTCCTCGAGAAAAAAATATTTAGTTTTACTTAAAATAGCAATCAACCAGAAAATTTCAATGACCGTGCTTCAAGATATCAAATGCAATGCAAACATGTTAAAGCATCGTCATGAACTAATAATATTCCATTCATTTTCTTCTGCAAGATTGCAGAATTATATTGTTATGTGACAAATCATGTTCAAATGTTTGTATACCTTTATATTTACACGAATGCAAAGGTCAATCCGATTTCTGTGTAAACTGTAAACTCATAAATACATTTGGTACTGTTGCGCCTTATTAGAAATATTAACTAGTTAGGGTTGGAATTCAGAGTGATATTCAGACATTCTGAACAGGTTACAAAATCTTCAGTTCAGGCTAGTTCAGTTTTCCGCATTATATTTGTAACCTTGAAGTGGTTACCTGCCATCATGGTTCACTATTCTCTCTTTATTCATTTATTGCTTGTGTAGGTGAAATTGTCAATAGATGATTATATACATTGTTTTGTATCATTCAGAAAAAATTGCAAGCAGACATTAACAAACTGTTTATATCATTCAGGTGGACAAACAACCGATCACTTGACAACTGTTGAACGATATGATATTTCAACGAACGTGTGGTCCACGGTAACTCCCATGTTAACTAAACGAAGCTGGTTCAGTGCTTTGGTGATTGATTCAAATATTTTTGCAGTTGGAGGAATGTATAGGTAAGATGATTGAAATTCACTACAACAAAATGGGCACTAGAAAGTTCTGTTTCGGGAGATTTTGTTCCGAAATACTTATTTGCAAAGAAATATTTGTTACCCTGTATCCACCACTACAAGCATATGGCCAGTCTAAACAGGTAGCTTTACACATTTTTTGTGAATATATTCATAACTTTGGATCGATATTCGCTGTTGGTTTGAGCTCAACTCTTTGTGCCGATAGAAGAAGCAGTATATTCATATTGCTGGCTAGGAATTTTGAATCAGATTCTTTCACCTGTAGTATCCGGTCATTCGTACTTTTTTCATATATGATTGAATTAACATAAGAAATTGAAAACCTCTTACCTGAGTAGCCTAACAATCACTTCACGAACCATTCGTCTTGTAGAAATTAAATATCTTCTCTGTATGTTTTTTCAGTTCGCCAGAAAGCATGGAAAAGTTTGATCTCAAGAAGAATCAATGGGAGATGATTGACATGAAGAACAAGAATCTGAAGATACTCGGTGCAGTGAATATCAATTTGAATTGATTGTATATGACAGAGAATAATCAGTTAACACTCAAGTTAACAAGGACATAATAGTAATTTATGTTTGTAATCTTGCTATTATGGAATTGTATAATATATATTTGACATTCAATGGGCGCTTGTGTTACCACTGAGTGAATTTTGTATACTTCTTTAATGAGTTCCTGCATTACTTACTGTAAATAATTTATATAGTTTCCTTGAATCTAGTTGTTCAATGGCGTTGCCCAGCAACTTTAACTCACTGGACATAGCTATGTTTACAACTGATGTAGAGAGAATTAGTTTTAAATGATTTGATTGTATTCAACACCCTATATATGATTGTATCATTTTTATGAGAAATCCGATTATAACTCGGCTGTGTAGCCGGAGAAATTTCACGCCTATTTAAAAACTAGTCTTGGTTGTTGGACATTTTGACTCCTGCTTTCAACGACAAGAAAATAGAGTTTATAAATCTTAAATTGGTCCCGACTCCTGATTTCGCTTACCATTGAAAGTTAGTATTTGGCAAATTAGAGTGGGATTCTATATCCTTGTTATGTGGAATTTGTCACCAAATATCATAGGTCATTGGAAGCGAGTGGTATATATAGCCATTGGCCAGTAAAAATTAGATTGATTTATTATTCCTATTCTGTTTTTTATGCCATTGGATATTATCTCGGTATGATATATTGTCTTGTGCATTCTTCAAGCGGTTTCTTCTTTAATTGAATTTACTTATCGAAGTCTGTGAATGAATTGCAATTTATAAATTAGCAGATGTCTTTTTCCGCGGAATATAATATATTCATTATAGTTTTCCTCCAAACAAACCTTTTTCAATGCTATCTGCAAAATACTTATATAATAAATCGCATTCATCTCTGTATGTTGTGGTTTAAAATATTTTCATCTTTACTGTATATTTTATCGCATTTATGCAATCAATACATTACTACCATGTATCTAACGTTGAATTCAATTCTTCAATTTTTTCATCTGATTTGAAAATCCACTGCATGATTTTCCGCTCTGTCCTTGTAATCACATAGTTTGAATGCAACCAACGTTTGCTGCATTCCAAATGTTTTTAAACTTACATTGTGAAAACTTTAATAAATGAGCCAACGAGTAAATTAATTTTGTCCATTTTTTAAATTCCATGTCAATTTGGAGGATTGATTTAGTTTGTAAAAAAGTGAAAATTTGTTTATTTGGTTTCAAGTAGGAATTTATTGCTGTTGGACTTGGAAAAGACGATTCACTTTAAAATTAAATTCATATTTATGAAGAAGCGGAATTCCGAATCAAAAATTTTACAAACTATTTACTTTTCTGAAATTAAAATAAGTTTCAAATATTTTTCAATTTTAAATTCTATTTCTCCCATTTCATTAGATCTGCACATGTGGTAGACTGACTCATGCCTCGATTTCTAGCCCAGTGATTGCTTGATCTTTACGAGCTCGCAAAATTGAAATGACATTTTAGCTTCGTCGTCTATTTTTTTCTCGCGGAAGTTTTTTTCGAAACTCACTGACGACCACCAAATAAACTCGAATTTAGAAAAACAAGCAAATGTTTATAACTAAGCTTGAAAATCTGTCCTAATGTGAAATGCGGCTGTTCAATTTCAACTATTACATCGCCGGAATCTTATTGATTCTAGCTAATAAATCCAATAACAAGGAAATCGATCCAGAGAACAAGCTGCCACAATAACGTATTCAATTAAAACATAATATAACAGGAATACGGCCTGTAATAAAATGTTCGATCATTCCCTAATCAAATATCGTGAAAGCGCGCTTGTTATGAGACTTGCCAATGAAATAAATATAATATATGCGGTATATACAAGTAATTGCTGTTAATTTGAAAAATCATGCGACTCCTATTTCATGGAGAAAGAAGTTCACATACGTCCGTCTTTTGGCTTGTTTACGTCAGAATTTTAAAACTATTCCGTTTACGTCCGCTTCTTATTGGACCATACCTGAGTAAAGTACTGGCCAATTGGCCATCATTGAAATCATATACAATTTTGATGGAGCGTTGTGCGCCAGTAAACAGCTATGAGATACCGTGCAACTAAAGCTTTTGAAAAACTTATGGCATAAAATTTATTTTTTTATTGGGCTACGCTAAAATACTTCATGATGCGAAGACGTAACAGTGATGATTACTAATCAAGTGTGAACTCAAGCAACAAATATCGACGAGAACGGTGAAGAAACCGAACTTTTATTGATACGTTTCGAATCATTGATATAAACAAGAGAGCTACGCCCAAATATATGGATGTAAGGTGGTGTGTATACACGCACAACTATATTGCATTTGTAGACTTCATTCACATTCGAAACAGAACACATTCCAGATAGATAAACTTAAAAACAGTTAATGCACACAGTACCAACTCATAACAGCTAATGTCCCACAGTACACGTGATAAGTACCGAACTTAGAAGTCACCTTCAGACATGAACGGACACGGGTCAAAGGTCACTATATTACATCCCTCCAAACCTTAATAAAAAAAACACAAAAATTGACATCGATGAACGACAAACCATATGAAGACTTGATATCAAAATTTTAGGATTCAGCACAAACTTTTAGTTCAAGTCTTCACACAGATAAATATCGATATCAACTTCATGAAATACAATGCAAAACACAGTACACATTAGTTTCAAAATACAGTTAAGCAGTCAATACTGTAATTCGTCCCATATGAAAATCTTTAAATCTACTTGGCACTTTTGGACATCTTCTAGGACGATCTCTAACACTTGGAACAGGGGGAACAGAAGGTGCTGGACTTTCAGCAATAGGATCTGCGTTTCATTATCAACATTCAAATTAGCAGTATCGTCAGAAATATCATTATCATGTAAAACATCAGCACCAGTGATATTTGTAAAACGCTTGCGAAAGGTACAATCATTCACTTTTTTAAACAGAGAAGCATTTCTAGTTTTACTGCCAATATTGGGACTTTGTGCAGTAATCATAGAACCTTTTACATTTATAACATCCATAGGCTCAGGTCTATATGCTGAAGAAAGCTTATTGCTTCTATTTTGTCTCATGATCACGGAGTCACCAACATGAATTTGTTCAGTCGGCTTTAAACAATTTCTTGCGTCAGCATACATTTTCTGTTTAGCCTTATGAAAACAATCACGATCACGTAAATCATTATCAACAGTAGGAACAATAATTTCAGGTAATAGGACTTTAATATTAGTACCATACAATAATTCAGCAGGTGGTCTACCTGTTGTAACATGGGGGCATGCTCTATAATTTCTCAAATTTATACATTTCCTGCTTCCAAGACTTGCCTTAGCAGTCTTGATAGCCTTACCCAAAGGTTTCATAAAATTTTCGGACTGGGCATTAGCTCTAGGCCACAAGGGAGTTATCTTTCTATGACGTATGCCACACAGTTCCATAAAACGTCTGAATTGATAACTTTGCCAAGGAGGACCATTATCAGTTTTCACAACTTCAGGAAAACCTAGCATTGAAAATATTTTATCAAGAACAGGAATGACATAAAAATTAGACGTAGCTTTTACAATTTCAACAACAGGAAAACGAGAGTATTCATCAATAACAACAAGACAATAGTCTCCACTGGGATATGGACCAGAAAAATCACAACTAACAGCTTGCCAAGCTTTTTGTGGCAACTCACTCATGCTTAAAGGGAGCATTCTCTCATCTTTCACAACAGAAGCACAAGCAGCACAGCTTTTCACCACATTTTCTACCATAGCATCCATACCAGGAAACCATATCTTTTCTCTTAACAAAGATTTTGTTTTACTCATACCCATATGTCCCTCATGAGCAATGTCAACGATTTTACGTCCTCAACATACTGGAATACACAATTCGATTACCTCGTAATTAAAATACCTTGCTCAGTCACACAAAGTTCACTGGCAATTTTGGCAAAAATAGACATTTCTCACAATCTTTATACTTATACCATAAGTTATTTTGCAAACATTTTATCACATTCTGTATCACACTATCATTTTCAGAAGCACTTTTTATTTCACACAGTTTGATAGTTTTGGACATGTATTCTCGCATACATAATTCACAATTCTTCTGTGACTTTATCAGAATGTACATTTTGCATTTCAATGGGATGCTGACTGTAGTCAGCAGGGTTAGTTTTCCCTGGACGATGTACAATATTAAAGGTGTACTGTTTGTAAACGCAAACACCAACGCTCAATCCTGGCAGAAGGTTTAGCAGTCCACTAGAAAACACACTCACTAAGGGTTTGTGATCAGTAACAACAGTAAATTTTACACCATACAGATAGAGATGGAAATGTTCTATAGCCCAGCACACAGCAAGAGCTTCTCTCTCTATCTGGAATAACGACTTTCCACATCACTCACAATCTAGATGCATACGCATCACACGGACTATTCATTATCAATGTCAGATTCTTTCTGGACTAAAACACAACCAAGTCTAACTGGGGATGCATCTACAATAATTTCAGTACAAAGCTTAGGATCAAAATTAAGACATAACAGTATCACTTGTGAGACTATTTTTCAATTCACAAAAGCTTTTTCACAATTTTCACTCCATATAAAAGCAACATTTTGTTTAGTAAGCTATTGTATAGGTTTAACAATGTTGAGTAATTAGGTATAAAACGAGACACATAGTTCGACATACCAAGAAAAGATTTAACTTGTTGCTTATCAGAAGGTCTATCAGCCTTGTTTATAGCTTTCAACTTATTTGGATCAGGTGACACACCTTTATCACCAAAAATATTTCCAAAAAACTTTATAGACGATTGAAAAAATGAACACTTTTCTTATTCAAAGTAAGACCACAGTCTCTTATACGTTGCAAACAGGCTCTTAAATCTTTCTCATGCTCAGCCTCATTTACACTACTGATATAAATATCATCTGAGATGTTTTTGACACCTCTTAAGTCGTGCAATGCTTGTTCAATTCAAAATATTGAAATTTTTCACTAGCAGCATTGACTCCATAATTCAATCTTTTATATCTGTATAATCCAATATGGGTACTAAAAGTAGTAATATGTCTACTGTCAGGGTGTAATTCAATTTGGTGATAACCCTGGTTCAAATCCAACTTGGAAAATACTTTATATCCATTTAAATCATGTATAAGTTCATCAACAGTAGGCATAGGGTGTTTTACCCTCTTTATTGCCTCATTCGCAGCTCGCATATCGACACATAGTCGAATGTTTTCTGGGTCACAAGGTTTAGGAACACATACAATAGGAGAGACCCAAGGTGTAGGACAATTCCCCACACTTTCACAAATGTCTTCATCACAAAGTTTAGCCACAGCACTTTCGACTTTTTGACGCATTTTAAAAGGAACTCGTCTGTGCTTTTGATGAACAGGGTTTACAGAATCATCAATATTCAACTTCAATTGGAAGTTTTTCAATTTCCCCAACCCTTGAAAAATTGAATTATAATCCCTTAAAATATTTTCAGTGAGATCCACTCGATCATTTGACACAGAGTTAATAATTTTCAAAATACCAGATCACTAGCAGTCTTGAAAGAGAGCAACAACCAATTGCATATCTAACAACATAGAATGCAGTGTTGATGCATTTGCCCACACTTAGAAGTTACAACTGCATGAATTTCCCCTTCACAGACAAGGGCTTTCTACTTCCATAAGCATAAAGCTTAATATTTGCAGTTTCCAATTTGCATGGTTTACTGGATCTACTTTTTAAATTTTGAAAAGTTTTGTAATCGAGTACATTGACACTAGCACCACTATCTATAAGCATAGAACAGGGCACATTGTTAATTTTCAACTGTACTTTTGCAGGATTATTGTTATTGGAGCAATTACACATTGATCCATTCACTGAGAGAATATATTCATGATTCTCAGAGCTCATTTCACTCAGTTCATGATCTCTGTAATCATGTTTAGGCTCATTTTGCACACTGTTCAACTTGGGCTTGTTGAATTTACTATTCGCTTCTTTACAGAATCTAGCAAAATGACCATACTTGGAACAGTTATAACATCTGCGACTATATGCAGGACACTTTTCTGCATGTGGATACACTCCACCGCAACT